CAGCCCCTGGGTCCAATATATGAACCCATTGCGGCCCTCAAGTCAAAAAGTTTGCCCACCCCTGTGCTAGACAGAGCTTTTTTTCAGCTGGAACATGGGGGAATGCAGTTCCGGCACCTCCAGCAATGAATGTATATAATGACAAGGGGTGCTGTAGTGTATTGGAGAGTCTATTGATGCTGGCTTCTAGGGATCTATTGTCACTGGAGGGGATCTATTTTTGCATGGTGGTATATTGTTGCTGGGTAGATCTATTGTTGCTGGTGGAGGGTCTGTTGTTGCTGCTGGGGATTTATTGTTTCTGGAAGGTATCTACTGTTAAGGGAGGGGTCTATAGTTGCTGGCTGCTGGAAAGCCTAATGATGCTGGTTGCTGGGTGATCCTTTGTTGCTGCTCTGGGTCTATTTTTGCTGTGGTGGTATTTTGTTGGCGGGGTCTATTGTTGCTTGGGGAATCTATTGTTGCTGAGGGGTCTATTGCTGCTGGCTGCGGGGTATCTATTTTACTGCTTTTCTTGTTATCATTAACAAATTCTATACAGATTACCACATAACGATACCTGGTTGTGTATTCTACATAAGGAATGGTACTGGGAGATGGGTAGGGGTGGATCCAAGGGACTGTGCTTGAAGGTGGATAGCAGGGTGTAGACAAGAAGTGATTCAGAATGGGGGAGTTCCTGCACCTATTCTCTGAGAAAAAAAAAACCTGGTGCTAGGTAATTATGCATCTGAATACATGTTCTCTCTTTTTTTTTGCATAATCCTTATTACTACATAAACACCTTACGTCTTCTATTATAGATATATACTTAATATTTGCCACATTCTGGTACTTGCAATATTCTGTAAAACATATTTACAGTATATAATAATTACCTTTACACGTTCCTAGCGGAAGACCACAAACTCAAAATGCAATTGGAAAGACTCCAAACAACACACACGAGCATGATAATTCAGTGGATCCAGCTGTTTAGGGACTATAAAAACAGTCAATCCCTGTTAAATGAAAAGTAACCATATCTATTTTCATGAGTATTCTACTAACCTGCTAAATGTAAATTATGTTAATATTTATTATCCAGCCTGTGTCTTGCAATTGTATTTAGGTGTTTGACCAAACTAAAACGTTATTGTAAAATAATGTATAGGGAGTTTTGAGACATACACTAATCTGGGCACATGTGGTTCACATATGAGCTAGATTTTCTAGCAATCAGTCCACACAAATAATTCCTCACAGTATCCCTGCATAAATTTACTACTGCTAATTGGTCTTGGGGGAATGAAAACATTAATTAAATGGAATATAGAATTCTTATATAGCTGAGTCAGTTACATTGCAACATGACAAAGTATCAGCAAGCAACACAAGCTAAGATACTCACATACATATACGAATATAAACAAGGTCAGATGTATGATGATATAAAATAGAGATACATACACTATATTGCCAGAAGTATTGGTCGGCCTGCCTTTATACGCACATGAAATTTAATGGCATCCCAGCCTTAGTCTGTAGGGATCAGTATTGAGTTGGCCCACCCTTTGCAGCTATAACAGCTTCAACCCTTCTGGGAAGGCTGTCCACAAGATTTAGGAGTGTGACTATAGAAATAAACATAAAGTTTGACTATTCTTCCAAAAACTCATTTGTCAGGTCAGGCACTGGTCTCAGACAAGAAGGCCTGGCTCGTTGTCTCCCCTAATTCATCCCTAAGGTGTTCTGTCAGGTTGAGGCCAGTCTAGTTCCTTCACTCCAAACTCGCTCATCCATGTCTTTATGGATTTTGTTTTGTGCGGTGGTACGCAGTCATGTTGGAACAGGAAGGGGCCATCCCCAAACTGTTCCCACAAAGTTGGGAGCATGAAATTGTCCAAAATGTCTTGGTATGCTGATGCTTCTGTATCACTGGCTCTGTATGTTATGCATCACATACAGGCCTACACTTGCCTAACATCATCTCACCTCCTAAAACAGGAGCTTAATTTTTAAAACCACCTGTGGATTTACTGTCCCTGTAAGGTCTTCAGACAGCTTTTGACCTGACACTTTGATGGCATTCACATCTAGGCATTACAGTGCATCAATCACTTAAGGTCCACCCTATAACAGTTTTACTGCTACAGGGCAGTGCTCTTTTGCAAAATCAGGTATATATACATAATTTTGCGCTTCTGCTTCTTTGTTGGGCAGGACAAAGAACAGAGCTGTAAATAAGGGCCTCAATATTGCAGTCCCGCTACAATTCGCTGATCCCTGCTATTATAAGTATTTTTTTTTTATTCAAAAATTCCAGTATATGCCCCACAGTTTGTAGATGCTAAAACTAATCACTATACACCTATGGGGATATTGTTTACCAAAAATATGTAGCAGAATACATTTTGGCCTAAACTTATGAAGTAATATGTTTTTATTATTATTATTATTATTATTATTAGATATGTTTTATAGCAGAAAATAAAAAGTATTGGGTTTTTTTTTTTAAATTGTTGATCTTTTTTGTTTATAACGCAAAAAGTAAAAAATACACCACCAAAAAAGCTCTATTTGTGGGGACAAATTACAGTGTTGCATGACAGCACAATTGTCAGTTAAAGTAACGCAACGCCGTATCACAAAAAATGGCCTGGTCAGGAAGGGGGGTAAATCTTCTGGAAGTCAAGCTGAAAGCTAGCAGCTCTGAGGAAGGGAGTTCGACTCCTGAAATGCGTTAGTTTTTCTACTGAAGGACCTCCGCTATCTGGGACTCACACCTTTGGTTCTTTGTCTCTGTTTTTATGACCGTTTGGCTTGTGAGTATGCACTTGTTGTTTTACAATAAATTCCTTTTTATCACTGTAATGCATGAGGAGAGTGCTCCCTGTTTTGTTTTCTGCTAGTATCAAGATTCCCCGATCTATAGAGGGCCGCACCTCATCGAGTGACAAACACTGTGTTCCTGTGTAGCATGAAGACTTGAGCGCTGGTTTTGTTCTTTGTTGAAGTTGATTAACAAATGCAATGTAACGTGCTTTGTGTCACACGCTAATGTGAGTTTTGGTAAAGCAGAACATTCATTTTGAATAGGCTATGAATGCACAGCAACATAGGGAAAAATGTACTGCAGTACAGTTACGTAGCTTGCTACTGTACTATTGCATTGTGGTGCCACTATGCAATGCATTGCAGTATGAGGATCACCATGTATTGTGTTACTTGCACTGTAAAATGCATAGTTTACTGTGGGGTACTGCAATGCATAGATCTCAGTGGGTCCAAATTCATGAAGCATCTGTGACACTTCTGCTTCTGACAGGGACTAGTGCGCCAGATTCAGGTAGTTCTAAATATGCACCCCTGTTACATTGTGGTGCAGCACCTGCTACAAATTCAAAATAAAATATTGTCAGTGTGTTTCTTATGAAAGTAGAGCTAATTAAGACCAACTTTCTTTAGGCATACAGAGAGACCCTGGCGCAGACAGATTTTGTAAAATGGTCGCACATGCGTTCTAAATAGTGATGCAGCATGTGTCAAATTCAAGTATAGGATCTGGGGGAATACATGAATTTGGTGTGCTTTGCTTCACTTTTTGAATACACAAAACACTTTAGCAAAATCTGTCTGCACCGGTCTTTATGAATTTTAGAGATTGTGTTGTAAGCTCATAAGAAGAAATAAGGAGCGGAGTGCATTTATGTAAGATCAGCAAGTTTTTTTTTGTGCTTAAAGGGTCTTAAAGGATTTGAAGGGAGAAAACATAGAAAATGTGAATATAGTATAGGGGGGCATTGCATATTTTTTTTAAATTGCCTTGACATAAATTAAAAATAAAACACACCCAAAACTTCTGGTGTTAAAAGTTGAATAGGACAACTGCGACTTTTTAAAAGAAACTAATGGATGCAATACCATTATTAAAGGAAGGAGGACATGCTGCCATGACTGATGTCCACAGTGGCTGAAACTGGTATTAGTTAATGGCTTTTTAGCATGTATATTTGTGTTCCTCTCAAAACTCCCCCCCCCCACCACCACCACTTTGCCCTATACAGCATGACTGAAACCCTCTAAATATTTCCTGTTTGCTGGAGGCTTTTTTTGAGTGTTATACATGAAAGAGGGATGTGTCTCTTGTGCATGTGAGTGTGATTGGGAGCACTTAAAAAACCACTTCCACCAAATGGGATTTAAATCAAGCAAATAGAATAAGCTGAAATGCCTGGAGCAACAATCCATAGCATAAATAAAGGAGTTCTCTTTTCAAAGAAAATGTGTTTATAAAAAGGGATAAAGCTTAAGTTACTGATTCACCTCCCTATAAAGGATGGGTTAAATAAACAAAGGATTCTTCTCATCTTACACAAATTGTATCTTTATAACGCTTGTCACTGATTCCACTTGAGGAAGATCCCGTCTCAGCTCGCACTTCCAATTAAGATTTATTTTTTAACCTGTCAATCCATAACCTAATTATTTTCTTCCCAACACAGAAAAGAAAAATGTATTTCTATGATGAACAGCTTTTTAAAGCATAGCTTTGCTTCATTAAAATTTGAAAGGAACTGTAAATTCATTAATTATACCCAAGTGATATTATCCTGTAATAAGCCAATCAAACTTATTAATAACCAAAAGATGAATAATAATTAAGAGTTAGCAATACTGAGAAGAAAACACTACATTGCTAAAGTTCATGTGCTATGATTAGAACTAATGGGTTCTGAGTTAAAGGCACTCATACACGCCAATGAATTGCATTGTCATAAAAATGCAACCATAGAGCATCTATCTGCTGACTGATCAGTCATGGTGACATGGGCAAAGTTACAGTGTCTCTTCAAGATCACCACAAAAAGAACTGTAACCCTTACATATGGAATGTGCTCAGGAATTATGGGAACATTTTCCACAGTGGTTTATTTTAACATATTCAGTAGATGTGTTTCTAAAAAAAGAAAATATGTTGCTAGTGACATTTATAAGAAACAGCATAGTAGAATGATGATCCAGTGAGTTATCACAGTGACTTTGAAGATCAGGATTTCCTATTAGAGCTTATTCACAATATGTGCAGTGACTTTGGTGTTTCTGCACTGAATAAACATCGGTCACTGCAAGTACGCCTAGGATAAAATTGTTTTCTTTGTGATGATCAGTGTGCCCTGATGATCTGTGTAGCCCCAGCAGTGGGACCTGTCAGTGTCCATCAGTGCCAGCTGTCAGTGCTCATCCATGTCACCTGCCAGTGCCCATCAGTGCCTCATCAATGCCACATTTCAGTGCCCACCAGTGCACATCAATGCCACATATCAGTGCCCATCTGAACTGCCTTTCAGTGTCACCCATCAGTGCCCGTCAATGCCACCTATCAATGCCAGTCAGTGCCACCTATCAGTGCTGCCAATCAGTGCCACCTATCAGTGTCAGTCAGTGCCGCCTATCAGTGCAAGTCAGTGCCGCCTATCAGTGTGCATCAGTGCCACCTATCAGTGCCCGTCAGTGCTGCCTATCAGTGTCGCCCAACAGTGCCAGTCAGTGCCACCTAACAGTGCCAGTCAGTGCTGCCTATCAGTCAGTGCCACCTATCAGTGCCATATATGAGTGCTGCCTTTCAGTGCCCATCAGTGATGCCTGTCAATGCCCATCAGTGCCACCTACCAGTACCTCCTCATCAGTGCCCATCAGTGCCACCTATCAGTATCCATCAGTGCAGCCTATCAGTGCCCATCACTGCAGCCTCATTAGCGCACATCAGTGAAGGAGAAAAGTCACTTATTTACAAAATTTTATAACAAAAACTAAGAAAAAAACTTTTTTTTTTCAAAATTTTCAGTGGTTTTTGGTTTGTTTAAGAAAAAATAAAAAAAAACAGAGGTGATTAAATACCACCAAAATAAAGCTCTATCTGTCCAAAGAAAATGATAAAAATGGGTACAGTGTTGCATGACTGCGCAATTGTCATTCAAAGTGCAACAGCGCTGAAAGCTGGAAATTGGCCTGGGCAGGAAGGGGTATAAGTGCCCTGTAGGCTAGTGGTTAAATAGTATGTTAATACAGCCTGCTAGAATGTAAGATAATAGTACTTGTATACAAACAATTACATTTTCTTATGCAAATAATTTAAAATATATATCAAATACATACATATTGTAAGCAAATAAAAAATATTGACATTAAAAAATATATTATAATGAATTAACTAACAAACACAATATAAATTAAGGTAGACAATATTGGGTATTCAGAAATATACCACACTGTAAATTAAAAGCATTACTATCAAATGAATCTGCAAATAATTTATTGCAACATCATACCATAAATATAGAATATTTAAATGTATTTAAGCCATTGAAATTCTTTTTTTAAAGGAGTAGAGAGTGCCCAAGTGATTGTAAATGCTTTTATAAACAAATAGCAAACAGGTTTATACTTACCTACTTTGTGCAAAGGAATTGCGCAGGGCTGCCCCAAACCTCCTCTACTCTACTCTACACTAAATGCTTGAATAGAAAGCTGCTTTCTATGGGGGCACTCATGAGGGCTTGCTCCCGAGCCTCGCTGTCTGTGTATATTGACCCCCTAGTCTTTTGTTTTGATTGGCATTAGCTCTTGCTCATGCTGCTTTAGCAAAGCCAATGAGACCAGGAAGTTAGGGGAGAGAAGAGCTGAATACGTGCACAGCCCTGGATAGAAGGACTCATAAAGTATAAGGGGGGATACTGATGCCTAAACATTTTTTACCTTAACACTGCACTTAGGAAAAAATGTTTAGGCTTTAGAACCACTTTCACTTAGCAAACTGAACATATTGTAATAAATAGGATGAAGCTGCATTCACTTTGAGTACCCAATCATATGTAGGACAGTTTATGGGGGGGAAAACAAATCCTTGCTTAAGGCTGGCTAAGTGAACATGGATTTAATCATTTAGTAAATTATTTAGTAAATCACCCCCAATAAATTTTATGACAGAAAAAGTTATATGAAATATTGGTGTCTCTGGGGCTATGAACATGCATGCATTGGATGCAGCAAAATTCAGTAAAGCCAAAGCAATTGAAGAGTTTTGTCCCACCTTTTCCAAAGTATACTGTATACTAAACAGACTCTCTTAAACTGAGATGAAAAGAGTTCTGAAGTATGATGGAGTTCTGTTATTTAACAAAATGCACTTTTAAATTGCTTAGTAAAAAAAAAAAAAAAAAACAAAAAACAAAACAAAAAAACACACACATATATATATATGCTATACTTTTTCATTTTGAAACATTACTATTTTCAACAAACTAAACTGAAATGAAAACTGGAGCATATAACATTTTCCAGTCAGCCCTTTGATGTGTTTTCAGTGTCATAACTGATTAATTCTATGTATTAAATGTTATTTATTATTAAAATTATAGCTTTAAAAGGAATATTTTTTGTTGGTCTAGATTCAGGTATTTGTTACAATAATCATTGCATGTATGGGTAAGCAGTGATTGCAAACAAATGTTCTAAAACGATGAAAATCTGTAGATTCCGTTGAAATAAAAAAATTTGTCTTCAGAGAACCAGAGGCAATGAAAAGTTTACATACAAATGGCAGTTGTTCATTTCATTGATGAAAATGCAGATATGAAATACCACACACCAGGGGCGGACTGACAACTCATGGGGCCCCCGGGCAATAGGGGATCATGGGGCCCCTGTGTCCTTGCCCAAACTCAAAAAAGTCTAAGAAAAAGGTACCAGGGGCATCTCATGGGGCCCCCTACTGACCCTGGGCCCTCGGGCAGTGCCTAAGTTTCCAAATGGTCAGTCCGCCCCTGCCACACACATAACACAAAACTGAGTTTGATAAACATAAGGAGCAGGATGAATTTTAGGGGGCCACCTGATGTCGCCGGCCTCTGTTCCTAGACTCTCCTATTCTAACTGGGAGCCAGAGAGTACCACACATGGTTGGGCCAGCTGCAGAAAGAGGGCAGGGAGGAACATCCATACTTCCTCTTCCTCTGTGACAATTGATCTCAGAAGCAACAAGGATTTTGTCTCTTCCAGTTTCAGTTTCAGTTGTTATTTATACACTGCTAACAGCCGGACAAGCATCTGATCAAACTGATCTAAGTTTGATCGGATGTTTTGGAGGATAGAGGAGGGATGTAAGATCCCTAATCTCTCAATAAAGATAATCTATCACTGTTGTTCATCCCTTGTGATAACAATAAAGTTGAAAAAAAAATAAACAGTGTAAAAAATACATTTAAATAAAATAAACAAAAAAAAAAAAAAATTTTGCAACAGAACTCACATTTAACTCTAAACTGGTAACCTATAAAGGCTTTTATAACTTTGCCTATTGAGATTTCAGGTACAGCAGTTTTTTGTCATTTCATGGGCATACATCATTTTTAATCTTGACATGTTTTGTATCTATTTATACAATTTTATACTATTTTGTTTATACTTTACAAAACCCATGTGTATTGTGTTTGTTTGCATGAAAATGCCTTGTTGATCTCAGAGGTCAGAGGAGAATGGGCATTCGATTTCAGCTGTGACATTCACAGGATCAGAATTTGACATAGACAGCATGAAAGCATGGATCCATCTTGCCTTGTATCAACAGTTCAGGCTGGTGGTGGTGTAATGGTGTGGAGGAAATTTTCTTGGCACTAGCAATGTGTACCTAATAAAGTGGCCAGTGAGTGTATAAGTCAGTTATTGGGAATATTATCTTCTTTCAGACAAAACATCTCAATAAACCACATGTGTATGAAGTTTAATGGCTCTCTTGTTCAAACATTGTATGTCTGGATATCAGTTATACAGGATGTAAAATCTTGTTACATGGTGATTGCCCTGATACCTGTAGGCAATTATTGCACATCTATTTTGTTTCCTGGTGAATCCAGAAAGGTAGTATAGTTGTCAAACATCTTATTCAGCATGAATTGGTAATGTGCTTGCATAATCGTTTGAAGATCAAGCCATTCACTATTATGTGTCAGGTCATATAAATAGCGCTTTGTATTCCCTTCATAAAATGATCAGAACAACTCGAAATTAGGTTAGTTCAAATGATCACAAAAGGGCATATCTATTTAAGGAAACTAACTACATAGCAAATCTCAAATGCCAATACAAATTAAGAAATCCATACAAGGGATGATTATTTGACAGGTTAGACCTAATCTGATAATAAATAGCTAATAGATGTTTAGGAAACAACCTGCTCTCTGGATCAATATTCACTCCTGATCAATACCCGCTCTGGATAATAGAAAATCCAGTTGTATAAAGATGAATAAGCTTGCTTAGAGAAAGTCACAACATCCAAGCTTAAAGGACAACTATCTTTTTTCAATACCTACACAGTATGCAAAAGTTTAGTTACCAAAAAATTCTATAAAGTGAGGATGCTTTCAAAAAAATCTAATGAATAGTTTTTATTTATTGATTAACAATCTAGTCCAGTGGAGAAAAACTAAACTACAAAGTGGAGAAAAATCAAATCGAATCAATATTTGTTGTGTCCACTCTTTGCCTTAAAAACAGCTTCAATTTTCCTAATACAGTTGCATACACTGGTGTATCAAGCCCAGTGGGTGGGGTGAAGCGCATCAGAGGGCTGAGGCCAGCGTGACGGCTGAGGCCAGCGTGACGACTGAGGCCATCCCCCATACACAGGATTATACGGGCGGTCAGAGTGGTGTCCTTTCTTCTCAACCACAGTTGTATACAGTTTTGAACTGATTGTTAAGGCTTAAGGTTTTTTACCTTCTTGCATTTTATGCACTTTGATTGGCATAGCCAAAGTGCTCTGTTATGGGGGCTCTCAGGGTTGGTCATGGGGAATGGTCGGCATCTCCAGATCCTCATGCGTGTACATAACCAAGTAGCTTCTGAGTGCAACAGCCCTCCCATTACTTACCTGAGCCTTATCATTATCCATCAATGTGCAGGAGAGCCTCAGCTCTCCAGGACTCTCCCTCCTCATTGGCCATTGGCTCCCACTGCTGTCAATCACATCCAATGAGGAGAGAGAGGGGGCAGAGTAGGGCTGTGTGACAAATTACACTCGGGAGAGCAAGCCTTCTTGGGTGCCCCTAAGCTGCTTGCACTGAGGGCACTTGGGCACTTGGCAGGAGGGAGTAGCTAGGAGCACCGGTAGAGGACCCGAAAAGAGGAGGATCGGGGCTGCTCTTTGCAAAACCAGTGCACGGAGCAGGTAAGTATAAACATGTTTATTATTTTTTTTAAATGCCTTTAATATCATTTTAAGGAACTCAACTGGTAGGTTGCTCCAAACATCTAGAAAAACTAACCACAATTGTTCTGTGGATTTAGGTTATTTGAGTTGCTTCTGTCTCTTCATGTAGTACCCATACCACCTCCCCAAGATTCCATGTTGTT